AAAAAAAAAATAAATGTGATTGTTTTTAAAAACTTTTTACTGTAATAAAACTCGAATCGGTAAAATAAATGTCTGATTGTCAAGATTTATGATTTATCCAAAGAAAACATCAATATATAAATAAACTATTATTAAAAGAAAAGATTCTACGTGTTCAGAAAGAGAGAACAATAGAGAGGGCGGATATGAATTGAAGAAGATATATGGGGGCCCAAAACAAAGTGAGATTAGTGGAGGAAAAAGAAAGAAGAAAGAGAAGAAACCTACCCCAACCCACCATACAACTAGTTATCCGAATTGCATAGAGATGTTTTCCTTAAAGTTCTCTACTGTAACTGGACAAACATCGCTTTCTAAATAAATACACTGAAAGTGTTGTAATGGCATCACAAAAAATTACTGCCAAAAGAAAAAAAGAAGAGAAAAAATGCTGTTTTTTAAGGGAAAAACGACGTTAAATTTTAGCACAAGTCGTAGAGAAAATTGCAAATTCAAATTTATCATTACTTAATAGTTAAGATGTTATTCGGATCTCAGAAACAGTAATGACAAACATTAAATGGAATGTCCCTAAACGTGAGAATGTGTTCAAGGGTAAATTCATACTTAAAGTACCAAAAAAGAAAGATGGAAACCACAAGTAAAAATCACGACTTCGGATTCATCTGTAGTCGCGTCTGCATTAAGAAGAGAACAAGTTCTTAACAAAGAAATAACAAACTAAACGAATGTTTTTTACACACACAAAAGGATATAACTACAACTATTTAATATCTGGGTCTATTTCCAGCAAATAAGAATTCAAGTTTTGTAACAAAAGCATAACAATGCAGTTAAGTGGTGTCGCGCAATTAGGGTGAGTCCATCAACTTGAAATTGATGCTGTCACAATCCTTCCAGAAAGCACTGCTGTAAATTGGTGATTTCGGACTCCTACAAGTTGGAGAGTTCATCTTCATTTTCCAGAGGTCATCTTCAATTAGATGCTCGGTGATCTCTTCCGGTTCCAAAGTAGACAGAGGATTCTGAGGCTGTAACAAAGGTAAAAGAATCATGACCATTTGTCAGGTAAGAAAGAAGTACGGAAAATAACAGAAACACAGCGGAAAGACAAAGAGTATGAAATAATAAAAAGTTACCATCATCTTGCTCAACTTTACAGGAGGAACCCGTGGAGATTCGACCTGTTGTGAAGAACCTAATAGAAAAAATAAACCGATCAAAATGACACAAAATCACATGTGCAAGTTTATGATAATGTGCAATGAATTAGTATTAGTACGAGCTTTTTGTATACCGTTGGTTAGTCCAATTGAAACCAGAAACTGTTCCACGTCCATCGGCTTAGTCTTTGCTTTGATGCATTCCTGATGGTCATGCAGAAACTGTTCCTCTGCAATACAACTGGGAAAGAGATGTTCCTCTTCTACAGCGCTCAGCTTCAGGGAAAGATTGTTCTTTGAAGCCTCATGAAGATGTGCTTTCCCTGAGTTTGAAATATCGGAGAGTGCTTTTCTGCTACGAGTCTGCATTTTGTCTGAGGTTTTAGCAATGCTTTTTCTGTTGCTTTCTTCACGAGTCACTTCTTTGATGAAACCAAAATTCTTGGAGTTCTGCTTCTTTGATGCCTGAGTGGGGGCAATGTTGGTCGAGTTCGATATTTCACCAAGCGGTTTCCTTCCACCAAGCCCCCCTTTCTTCTGTGATTTATTCGTATGCATCTTTCCCCCGGCAGAAGCTCCTGCAGTATTAAAAATTACCCATGTCAAATAGCTTTAACAGCAGAAGTGAATCAAGGAAACAAGTACATCCAGTAAGTAAACAAAGAACTGGAGTAATACCACTATATTGAACATTGAAGTTCTGATCTTGAAACGGGACACCAATTGCCGATGCCATTGTGCTTTTTCTGGGAAAATTCAGCTCAGTATTCTGCAAATATTGTAAATAAATATATATAAGAAACCACACAAAAAAATTAAGCACAATTCATAAACAAGCCCCATTGGCAAAAAATGAAACCATAGATACAAGATCAAATGTTAAAAAGATTCATATCTTGAATAGCGGTGATCAATACCAAACCAAATCTATGTTTATTACTTTATTTCAACTTAGATAGAAATGTTGGAAGATTCGTATCTTGAATGGCGGCGGTAAAATACCAACCCAAATTCAAGTTTATTGGCAAATAAACCAAGTATGCAGAAGTTAGCAATTTTAGAAAATACTAGAACAAAACGAAAACTTTCTACTGCGCGCAATTGTTAAAAAGATTCATATCTTGAATAGCGGTGGTCAAATACCAAACCAACTCTATGTTTATTACTTTATTTTCGACTTAGATAGAAATGTTGGAAGATTCGTATCTTGAATTGCGGTGGTAAAATACCAACCCAAATTCAAGTTTATTGGCAAATAAACCAAGTATGCAGAAGTTAGCAATTTTAGAAAATACTAGAACAAAACGAAAACTTTCTACTACGCACCATTGATCCTCCTCCAACATAGATTTTCAAACATTGTTACTGAACTGGGTGGGGAAATTTTAAGTCGAAATCTGAAACACCAAAAAGCATAGCAAACCCTAAACTTTCATGAGAATCTGAGAGACAAATATTAATTTTCCAAGTAGCCACGGAAAGTAACGATAGGTGCATCAAGAACCCTATATTTAATTTCGAAACACAAATAAAAGGGAAAGTTTCACGAACGAAACCCTAACTTGAGTCATATGATGATTTTCTTCTCGATTTCAGAAAAATGGAAAACCAAAAAAACAAACAGATAGAAAAGTCACAATACAACATTCCATATCTCAAATCTCTCACATTTTCTCGCAAACCAAACGGCCAAGTAGTTCGAACAAAATCAATTTTTACGGCAAAATTAACAAAAGGAAAAAAAAAATAAGAAGAAGAAGAAAAGAAAAGCCAAAGCAGTTTTCAGAAAATGTGAGAGAACTTACAGAATCGATTTTGAGGAGGAAAATCCTTAGTGATTACGACTTTCTTGCGTTTTCTTGGAAGATGATTTTTGTTCTCGCCTTCTATCTCGTGTGATTTCTCTCTGAAAGTATTTTACTGGTTAGTTTTTCGATTTGGGTCTTCTTTATAAAGCGCGACCACGCTCCAACGGTAACATTATGCGTTTTCACGGAAATACCCATCATTTTAACACATAATTACTAAAATGGCAAAACCGTCTTCAATCGTCCGGTTTGGGCGCGTGATCTCGAGTTGTAAATCAATTTGGGCCCTTCTCTGGCCCCTTCTATGGGCCCAAGATGGATCATGGAGCCTTGTCCGCATTTTGGGACGGAGTTTTTTTTTGTTTTTTTTTTTCTTTTTAAGAGATGGGAAATAGCCTTCTAAATAATAAAAAGGGGGATCGAGAAAAATAAGCATGATTAAGGGTAATAAAAATAAGTAGGTTAAGATTTATAATAAGTTATTTAATAGGTCTAATAGGTGTAAATTCAAATTTATACAAAATTAATTTCAAAAACATCCTTATTTAAAAAAGGAAATAAAATTCTAAAATTTACCATGCCTCTCTTTCCACTCTCTCTATCTTCTTGCTATCTTGATTTACGAATAAATACAATATGTATTCTTATGATAATTCTTAAAATTTACCATATAAATTTAGAATTTATAAAAAAACAAATATTGTGCTCTGATGGTATAAATCTAAAATTTATGAATAACGCAATATGTGTTCTAATCTTAAGTGTATACTGTAAATTTTAGATTCACGAATAAAACTAAAAAAATCATGAATTTACATTGTAAATTTTAGATTTATAACTAACTATGAGAGAGAGAAGAGCATACTCACGAATGATTGAAATAGAGAAAATATAGAAAAGGATATCTAAAGAGAGAACAAAAAATAAGGTGGAAAATGAATAGTTCAAAACATAAAAAGACCTATTAATGTCATAAGTTTTAAAAGTAGGCCTATTTTTTACCATTTTTCTAATAAGGATAAATGGTCAAATTTTTTAGCATGTTAGTAAATAGCTGGCTTTGGTAATATTCCATGATCCAATTTACTAAATTAAAGGAATAGGCTAACTGTAATTTTACGCTTCTACAATAAAGTATAGAGTTCAAACATCTTGCCTCTTAAATTCACACTAGAAAATGTCTTCTCACAACAAGAGTAGCCTAAAAAATGTAACTTTTTCCACACTAGTGTGTGACATGATTTTTTTATATGTAACACTAGGTTTGCTTAATTACAATATTTAAAAAATGTAGTAGAACACATGCAATATTGAGTATTATACTTAAACACACTAAAGTTTAGACAAACTTTTGAACAACATTACACAAAAAATTAAAAAAAAAAAATTACATTTGTTAGGAGTCCTCAAGACCTATAGGGCTGTCATATTTAACACTTTACCTATATATATACTAAATATATGAGAAATTTTCAAGAATGTTATAAAATAGAAAATACTATTTTATTTTTGCCATTAATTTTAAATTTATCATTTATATTGTTAATATTCTGATAGGATATCATTCACATTCTACTAAAATATTTTTTTAATAGCATAAATAATAAGATTATGAAAAATAGTAGTTATTTATGTAATTTTACTATAAGAACATTTGAGATTTATAATCTTCTCCCCCTAAAGAATTAATTTTATAAATGCCCCTCAAAGTATCTATCTTGTTTTAAAATATCTCTAATTTTTTTAAAATGTTCAAAACACTCGTTGATCTATAATAAACAGTTCATATTACATCGAGTTCGAAGCATATATTTTCATTTTAAAATACCTCCAATTTTTTTAAAATCTTTCGAAGCATACATTTGCATTTTCTCCTAGATCTCATTTTGAGTCGGACCCATATCAAATTCTATAAATTTTATATGGTTTTTATTTTATGTGGGTTTGATAACGCTTAAAACCATGCATTATGAGTATGTCCCTACAGTAGAAAAGTTGTAAATAATCTATTTGTATTTGGAAAGTGGAAATTCCTTTCTGATAATGACAACCAAACTCCTTTTTTTTTTAATCCTTGTATTTACCTTTTCTCTGTTCTTTCCAACAAAATGTAATAAGAACGTCCTGATTATATATCCAATACATGATACCTGGAATTCTCATTGTGCAACATTAGCCAATAAAATAAAAACTGAAATTACAGGAAATTCTTTTCCTAAAAAATAAATACAGGAAATCTGCAACCCTTTTGCACACATCATTAATCAATTCGTAATCTGTGTAATTGGACTATTGGAAGATGTATGTAATACGTATACACAGTTCGTGCATATATAATATAACAAATATCAACGACCTAATACTTGACTTTGCAAGGAATCCAAACAGGCAAACACACAATCATAGATCATATGTAGGTCCATGTTTCTAACGTGAAATGAGGACCACTTCTCTCATTCATTAAGATAATGGTACAAGAAGTATGAAAATTATCTTTTATTTGCCTTAAATAAATGAGATTTAGAAAATAATAATAATAATAGTTTAATACAAGGATATGAAATAAATATCCTTTTAATAGTAATAGAACTTGATAAAAATATAACTGTTGGAAAAGTGTTGTAATCTAAGATGATACGAGGATTTAAATCAGGGTACGAGAATTTAAAATCAAGCTGATTTTAATCATAATTCTAGAACCAGAACTATGATTCATGATTTTGGGTTCAAATCATGATTCTGAAACCCTGATTCTGAATCAGGGATTTGAATCACCTTGAATTGAGAGGGAGGTGGTTTTAGAATCATGATTTGAGCTAGTTTAAACATCACATCAGATTCTAACCAGAACTATGATTCATGATTTTGGGTTCAAATCATGATTCTGAAACCCTGATTCTGAATCAGGGATTTGAATCACCTTGAATTGAGAGGGAGGTGGTTTTAGAATCATGATTTGAGCTAGTTTAAACATCACATTAGATTCTGAATCATGATTCAGAATCATCCAAACCAAACACTGATTTTGAATCATAATTCAAAATCACTGTAAACAAACATTAATTCTGAATTAGGATCCAAAATCATGTTTATGAATCCATCTACTAAACACAATTACAAGTCACTGTACAATTTAAAATATAATTAATCTTATCACTTATATAATAAGGTTCTTTTTTAAATCCTAGATTTCTCATTTTAATACATTTCTGCCCATTAGTTGTCTTTTTTTCCCCCCTCAAAAGATTGGTGTCTGTTGCAAGCCACATCACACGTATATAAGCAATATTAGCTAGAAATACGCACCAAAAAAAAAAATATTGCTAGGATGGGAATTTTTACACGCATCATATTTTGTTCGGTACTCAATAGCTAGAATAATTGGCTTTCTTAAGTAGCTGAACAAATTTTTACCCGTGTTTCCATGCACGGCATGAGATCATAGGACAAAGTAAAAAAAATGCAGCCATAATATAGGTAGCTTACATGCACCAAACTTCTCAAACTCATTTTTATGACCTGTCCTGTGTGGAAATACCGAAATATTGAATAAATTAAACTATTCATTAAATTTGTTTTCCAATTAATATAGTTTTTAGAAGAATATCTTTTCACATTAATATCACGGATTTCTTGTAGATCTTCCCCCCCCCCCCCCCCCCCCCCACTCCCCCCTTT